TTGGTATTTAATATGATTTCTTAGAAATAATATTTGAACAAAAATATGTTACAAAAAAAATGAAAAAAAATGTATGCCACGAGTTATACGCAAAAACCTATGAGAGATGTTTCTAAACTTGTTATCTTTTGTTATCACATTAGAATAAGCAGTAATAGCCGATCTACGTACAAAATATACATTTTAATGTTAGGAACTTCGAGTCAGTTTTTAATGTTTTATAATATATCATACTTAATGTTTTCTCCAAACGTCAATACATTCGCTTATATATTTTAACCCTATAAAAAAAGTCAGTGAGACATCCTAATCGCAACCCAAGTAGCATACCTATATAGTGAAATATTTGTAAAGCTGTTGTTATCATAAYGTTGAATAATATTTTAAAATCGGGTTTCAGGACTTTAAGCGTATGGAAGTGTTTAAACTTCATAACAAGACCGAATTCAACGTGACCCTGGAAATGTTGCAAGACAAATACGAAATAGCCCGGGAAAATACATTGAAAGGTTTGGACGTTGTGTTTACGTAATAATAATAATAATAATTGTCATCGTGCACTGATTTTATATCATATTTTTGTAGGTATTTAAAAGGCGAAGGCGACAGAAGCCATTTTTATATTAAAAATAATAATAATTATAATAATAAAAAAGAACCACTATTGAAAAAAAAAACAATAAAGTTATACATAACAGTATATAATATAATATTATTACTTTATACGTTCCGACTTCTACTGTTTCAATGGTTCTATATACATTTAGAGCTTTCAAACAAATATTATGTAATCGATTCAGAGTTACCGTTCGTGGGTTTGGAACTACACTTCGGATAATTGAAAAAATTCTATGTTAATGAATTCCATGTAAACAACGTACGAGTTCGCATTTATTGAATAACTTACCGAGAATTATTTGCGTATTGGTATTGTTTGACATTACAAGTACCATTGCAGCCAACAGTAAATTAATTACTTTTTAATAGATTAAAACAAAAAAAAATATACAATGATTGTTTAAAATTTATTATAATTAAGCATGCCTTTGAAGTTTAAAACTAATTATTTGATGCAATGAGAGCGCTTTTGTTATATGGTGTACCTACTGTACCTATACCTACAAGTTATGTATGTACCTATGTTAAATTCKCATCGAATTTGATAGTAATATCAATATTTTATTTTGATTTAAATTATTTCACATAGATAAATAGAGGATTTTTTAGACCTCATGGTGTAGAACTGCAGACTCCTCACGAGTATAAATTATCCGATTAAAATAAAACGATATTTTACTTTTTTTTTCCGGGCTTGACGCGTTGACAACGATTAAAATTAATGCGCCAAAAAAACGCTTAAAACGATTTAAAGCTTTTAAAAAGCCACACACAATACAATACACAACAAAAAAGTTTTAAAATTATCTTTATTGAAACTCCAAATCAGTTGTTTATRCACATCATATTAAAGTAATCGKAGATCGGTAGGCATCAAAAATTATTAGCGAGTCTGTAAATTTAATTTATAACTGAAAATGCAAATGTGTTGATTCCTGAATATATATTAAAAATTAAAAATGTGTTGGTATCTAATAATAAAAGACAATATTATGTGTCAAATACATATTATAAGCATGTTGAACATATAACGTTGAAAATTTAAATATACAATTCTAAGTGTTTTTTTTTAATGATAATATTTTCTATCAAATTATAATCAACAGGGACAAAATTCTTATCAGAATTCAATATATTATAATACATATTATTTATTACAATGTACATAATWTTCCTGGTTTCAAATATGCTTGCTTCGTTGATATTTATCACTAATATAGGATGAATTATTAGATTCTTATTGTTAATTATAAAATAAAAATCTGGTACAAACCATAATGAAAGATTATATTATAATATTTATGACAACACTAGAAGTGTAGCATAGCGTTTTAAATAGATACCTACGATTAAAAAAGGTATTAAATAATTATACGTTATGCATTCGATTAAATCTTCGACTAATCTCAAATTCCAATATTAACACACGAAGCCTTTAAAGATAAAACGGGTACAAAATATTTTGTATTTACTATAATATTAGCTATAATTAGTATTATGATACACAGGAATTTTTTAGTTTACCAAAATTTTTAACTGTAGTACGGTCGTCCACGTTTTTAATTTTAAAGTTAWAACATTTTTTGAAAACATGTAGGCCACCTACTAACTTTAATATAATTTATTGTGAAATGTTAAAAAGTTTAATACAATTTATTATTAAGATAACGATAACCTATCAGATATTTGGTTTTTTTTTTCGTTATTAAATTACTTAATTTTTATATGAATAATAGATAATCATTTTTTTTTAAATCAATAAAAATAATTAAAAGTTGTTTTCGTTTAATTATTTGCAGTGATCAATTTCA